GTGTGCCTGTGTGGGTCTGTGTTTGCCTGCGTGTGCCTGTGTGGGTCTGTGTGTGCCTGTTCGGGTCTGTGTGGGTCTGCGTGTGCCTGTGTGGGTCTGTACGGATCTGTGTGGGTCTGTGTGTGCCTGTGTGGGTCTGTGCGGTTCTGTGTGTGCCTGTGTGGGTCTGCGGCAGCCTGAGCCGCCTGCTCATTGTGCTCGCTGACATTTTTGCCAAATTGAGGCTCTGACATGAAAGACGCGGAGGTGCAGATGAGGCTTCAGAGGTGACCAGACCACACAAAGCTCACAGGCGCCGGGGAGAAAAAGGACGAGTCCAAATCTGCAGATTCATAATAAACTTTGAAAATGTCAGAGCAAGTCCGGCCCCTATTTGAACCAGCTGACCCATGACTGTTACTTTGATTTGTCAGGAGCCATCAGAACCAGGTGATTTCCAGGTCACGAGGCCGGTTTTCCTGTTTGTGTGCGGGGGGAGTGGGAAGGGAGAGTCAGGAAGAGATGAATGGGACCTGGAGTCCTCGGGACATTCATGAATAGAAGAGCTCTGTAAGGGCTGAGGATGCTGCTGCTGCTGCTGCCTCTGTGCTGTTTGCATCCATGAATAAACCTTCCTGCTGCCATTCATGCAAACACAATTAGCTCCATGCTTCACCTGTGAGAGAAGCTAATCCAGCCGGTGAAGGACCTCATTAACTCCATTGTCCTTATAATCGTTCACAAATTAATTACATTTTGCACTTTTGTATGGACAGAACCATCTTTAATAATAAAAAGGGTAAAAAGACATTAAAATTCTAATCAAACAATTCAAAGATCTCCTCGGTGCGTCTCCGCAGCTGCTTTCATATACTTTTTAAAGCCCTCAGCTTTTTGGCAGATTGCACGTTTTTCTGTATGCACACAAGAGGGGAAAGGAAAAAGATGAGAGAGGCACAGAAACAAAGTGTTTAGCGGTAGATTGTGAGTTAAGCGTGTGTTTATGAGCGCAATGTAAATGTGTGTGTGTGTGTGCGTCTGTTTGTGTGTGTGTGGCCTCTCGGGTTGCAGTGAGTGTGGGAGTGTTATGAAAAGATATTTTTAATTCTGTATGTCAGTGCCTCTCATCTCCCTCAGCAAGAGACGTCGCAGGGAAGCAGCAAAGCATCTCCAACGCAGCCGTCATTTAAACACACACTCACACACGTGCACACGTGTACAGTTGTAGGAGTCTTTCAAACGGCACCAGTTGCGTCTTTGAAAGTTAGAAAAAGAAGAAAAAAGCCTTCCAGTTTGTCGGTGCTTCTGAGTTTCCCCTCAGAGTGCTAGTAGGGGGAAGTTGTACTTGTACGCGGTTGAAATGTGAACGATACACACACCAGATGATAAAATCTGCTCAGCAAGCCTCAAATATTAAAGACACAAACTGGTACCCACAACCTTTAAAAGTAAATTCATTTTTGGTGTTCAGATCCATGGTTACCAACAACACCGAACCATATGGCAAATGATGGCAGTAAAGATCCCAGAGGAGCAGCTTTTGCTGAATCAACAGCCTATTTTTTCTTGTTTTCAGGAGTGTGAGCTTTCTCTGTGGACCACAAAGTGGGATTAAGGTAGTCCTAGAGGAATTACGTATGGTAAATGGCACATTTGACTCACCCTCATACATCCTATGCACTCTATCTTAAGACGAACAGATAATGTGTTCATTGGAGGGTAAAAAAACAGAAATAATGGTGCATTCCATGTTAAAGGTTCAACAATCGGAATCAAACTCTACTGTATACACTCAGGAGATGCCAAATTCTTTCAACATTTTATCTCTGTGAAACCGCAAATATAATCTATAAAAACTGACTCTGACCGGTTGAACGACTATCCTGTCAGAAGTTTAGAGAGAATCATCTGGGTCCACCTTCTCATCGTCACACTCACCACACGCCTTCATACTTTTAGTTTTAACTTCAACTGTATACTGATGTCTTCCCCTAAAGTGCTGATAGATAAAATAATATATAAGAGGCAGCTTTAATACCATCATCCCGCTCCAGTGGGGGAATAGAGAGCCAACAGTCCATGCAAGATCTGCAGAAAAGCCCTTTGACTGCAGGTTCAGAGTCGTCTTAATTTCAAACCTCAAACATCAAATATTCAGAGAGGAGGGGAAGCCATGGACAAATTCACAAATGCTAATTATCACCAGCAGCCACTTGAGTTCCAGCTCTATCACTTTCACTTATTCCCAGCAGATTAAAGCTGCGCATGCATCAAATATTAAAGCAGCCCTGTGAATTATTGATCCCGATCAATGAGCGCAGATCAGAGCTCGCAGCTGGCAGAGCGGAGCCCCAGTGTGTGGGTGTTACATCAACAGCTGAGCAGCATAACAGAGCAACAGACGCTGCACAAATATTGGGAAAGCTAACCCTTTCTCAGTTCACCCGCATCAGATTTAAATCATATGTTTGGGGTTCAAATGAACTCAATGAAGCCCACAGTTTCTTCACAACAGGTCGTTAATGTGAGTCAGAATGAGTGTGTCCAGGTCCAGTGTGTCTGATGGAGAGACAAGGACAAGTTTAGCCTTCATGGTATTGAAATGAAAGGGCGTACTGCGTTTTATTAATTTCCTCCACCCCTGTCTGTCAACCATCAGCCAGCAGCTCCACGTAGCAAATGCAAACAGGCTGGTACAGGAAAATTATGATTGCCTTATTCTTAACAGACCAGCTAAAGTTATAAACTACTAATTATTTAAAAATGTGTCAGATCTGTTAATATCTTCATGCGATTTCCTGCAGAAGATTCAGAGGTCAAAAGAGACCCAACGCTGGATGCTGTTGCCAAGGAACCAGAAGATGCAACAGACAGCCCGATGCATTTCTTCTCATCTTGGAGAAGGTTAAAAACATCTCCGCTTGGTTTCTACAGATTAAAGAAATCTAATTAAAAAATTATTTTACTTGTGTCCATTAGGGCAGCTGCACAAACCTCTGGATTTGCACTGTTAATGCAGCTTTGCCAGGCTCAGTTCTGTCTGAACATCTGTACAGCTCCAGGGCCCCCGCTGCAGCTAATGATTATTATTTTCATAATGAGCTAAATGTTAGTTGCTGCCTTATCATGCTGCTTATCAGCTGTCGGGTGCAAGCTGACCTCCTGAGAAACAAATCAGGCTTCCAAGCGGGTTTGGCAGAGGGAGAAGGAACAGTAACACGCAGCAATGATCTGGGGAAGATTTTCCAAGAAGAGAGGCTCCTCTTTGCCATTTACTTCCTCTGTGCTTAACCAAAAGTGCACAGACTGCTTTTTTTTTTAAATAAAAGGGAGAGGCCAGTTGTACGAAATGAGGGATGGAGTTGTTTTTTGGTATCATCTTTAAATTTGCATGGTCTCTGTAATTGTAAATGTAGAATAGGATATTTGAACATGCCTACACACTGTACCCTCAGTACCGATTTGGCCCCATTAACCACTTATTCTAATAATGCTGTAAAGTCATCTTATAATGCTTTTGAATATTCTTTTTTTTGGTTGGAAAATAGTTTAGATTTAGCAGTTTCCCCTTTGAAAAAGATCACTTTTAGTTGCTTGCTGACATCCAGCTTTAATTTTAGCCACCTGATTAGCCAGCCACATACTTTTGGCATCTTTTTTTGTAACTCTTTTCAGTAATGCAAATACTGGTAAGCATATTCATGGAAACCTATTAAATCAAAACCTTTAACTTCCAAGTTTCCATGAGCAAGGAGCACGGTGTCAAATGCTTTTATCTAATTTTCTCATTTGAAAAGGTTTGCATCCTGTGTCTCCAAAAATGCACACAGTCTCTGTCACTCCTCTCCTCCAAAAATCCTCCCTCCTCTTCCTCCTTTCTTTCACAATCTGCCTTCTCAAATACAGTCAGCTGGCCCGACTGCTTGCAATACTCATTTGGATTTGCTTGTCACTTCACATCTCCCTTGTCCTTGTCTAGCCTCCACTTCTCTTTACCTCTTTTTGTCCAGAATCCTTTCTCATAATCTCTCCATCTTGGGTCTTGATTTATGTGAGCGAGTTATCCCTCAGAGATTTTCTGCTTGTAAGCGCTGAGGAATCAAGGGAGCCGTCTGATGAAGTGGAGGGGGATCTGAACCTAAAGGGTGGATCCAAATGTAAACAGTTGAACATAGAGCAGCTTGAGAAGGCTATAAATAGAAACGATGGAGCATGAGAGGAAGCAAGCAAGGGAGAGAAAGCTTTGCTTACAGAATAGAAATGACTCCCGACAGTCAGGGATTAGTGCTTCCCTGGAGGATTTTCACTCTATGAGCCCAATCTGGAGCCAATGGGAAGAGCACCAGCCTCAGTCATCTCAAACACTGTCCTACGCAGAGAGGAAACATGGACCTGTGGACTGCAAACACACCTGGAGATGTGTTAAAAAACATACAAACACGCACACTGTGGGAGAGGCAAAGCATGACGGTGCTGTAAAATAAACAAATATTACTAGACGAAGACCGCATACCTGCAGTCAAAGCATATTCTAAGTGAGACCGCAAATAAATGTGTGTATATATTTACCCAAAAGAACCAGAACATTGTAAACATTCACCATAAATTGTGATGAGTCTTTAAAAGGTTTAGCTGAGATAGAAAACTTTTTTTTTAATGACAAATCTGACCCCAACATTTACAAAACATCCTGTTTGCCCCGCTTGTTTTTGATTGATTGTATAAAAGTTTGATTTATTCAGAAAACTGTAACTGATAGTCTGTGAATACATACACATTTTAGTTGTTGGCTGATTTGATCAATACTCTCATCAAACACTAATTATGATGGTAACTCACTGGTTAAATGATACCTTCAGCGTCGGCATGTTGAAGGACTAGTGATGTCATGACTCCTGCTTGGACTGTATTAATGGATTTTAAATATTGAATACAACTGTTTAATCTCCAAAATCAGCATCACCGTTTACAAGGTAATATCACAATAGTTCACAATCAAGTTTAAAAACCTTCTTTTTAAATTGAAAAGAAAACCATTTCCCTAATAAGATAATTTAAAACCTCTTCATACCTCTTCATTCAACACATCAGACTGAAAAAAAGAAACAAATTCAAAATAATAAATAAAATAATATAATGATGTTAATATCATAATTTGTACATGGAAACTGAGCTAAATGCTGAATCCACTCACAGTTTGCCATTTGAATAAATAAAACTATGCTCCAGTTAACAAAGAACAGGGAAAAAGGCTCTCCAATGGAAATTATGATATCTAAATTAGAAGTTGTGGGTAGACAAAATCATCTAAAGGTACAAACATGCACCATTAGGTAACCAAAAGTGTTGGCATGAGCTTCTTCCTTTGGGGATGTGGGAGTTTAAATAGCTACAACCATCAGAAAAGGACAAGAATCCTCTGTGCAGTCCTTTGCTTTTTATTCATCATTTCTTGTATATCTATTTCCACAGTCTAATTCCCTCCTGTTAATTATCTTAATAGCTGCAGAAATACAGCAAGGCAAACATTTGTCCAGAGGCGAAAACTCTGTGCAAATACTCGTTAAATATTTTCAAATGTTTGCGCAAAATGGAGCTGACGAACTTCTGGGAAAACAGCGCCTCTGTTCCCATGTTTACACACACGTCCATACACGCCTATTAGGGGTCACATGTGGGCTCACAGCTCATAAAACCGCTGTCCAGAGGGGCTGCAGGAGGCAGGAACACTTCCACACTGACGTCGTCGATGGCCACTCAGTCACAGGCTGGGCTGAAGATGGGCAGATGGCCAGTAATCTTTATGCTCTGATCTCCTATAAGACTATTGTACTGTCATTTTATGGATTTTAGTAAGGAATGGCATGGCCATCTTTAGAAAGCTCATAACTCTGCTGCTTCAGCATCTTCACACTGGCTACCAATTCATTTTAAATCTAATTTCAATACATTTGTTCTTACTTTTAGAGCTCTGCATAGTTTTTCTGTCTCTGATGTTACTCAGCTTAATGTTTTGGAATCTGATGTCATCAGATTGCGCAACACAGATGGATCTAGGGTTATAGTATGCGTTGGACAGGGAACTTCGAAAAACCCTCCAGAAAAATTCTCTAACAGAGGCAACGTGTTTGTGAAATGAGGAGCTTGTAGTTTCCGACACATCAGAATCTGCCCGGCCTTTTCTCTCCCCCTTTCCGTGCTTTGCTTTTCTCTTGCACCTTATTTCTTACTGTCTCTGACAGGCCTAGCTGGGCAGTACATCTCAGATTGGTGTGAAATCGCCGCCTAACAGGCGGGAAATTGGCTCTGTTATTTTTGGAGCAGAGTCATGGGGGAGCGTCGGACCATCATCCTCTCTCTAATGAGCAGGTGATGGAGGCGTAGCTCAGGAGGTGGGGAGGGAGGGAAGCCTGGTGTCTGAAACACTGCACACATGGCGGATATACAGACCACACCGCAGGAGGCGGCTGAGTAAAAGCAGAGGAAGAAATACAGAAATGGGCAGAAGAGATTTATTGATGCTAAATTGAGTATCCCCACCAGATTAAACTCATTTTGCTGACATCTGCTGACAGAGCTGCTCTTGGCCAGCACAAGTTAGAAGCCTTGGGGGTTGTATTGTTGATTTTTGCCTGACATCCTACATTTTGTATTGAGTTTTCTCCCAGCAGCATCAATATCTAACACACACACTCAAAAGCAGCATCGTTTTTGAACGAATATTCATGTAAAAGCGCAGTCATCTGAGACAGAATGTTTTTGTATTAAAGCACAACTTTTTCGACACTCTAACGAAAAAAGAATTGATTGATAAAGTAAGATAGCTTTTTACTTCCAATAAAAGCCTTCCTAACAAAACTCTACTAAAAAACTTATCATAAGTCCCTGCTCTGGACTTGTACCCAGACAAGGTTTGTTTAAGTCCTATATTTTGCTATAGGTGGGCTAAAATAATAAGTAATGCACATTCTGATAGAAGACTATGTCCATTCAGCTACCGTGTACCTGTGCGTAACCAGGTGACTTTCCACCACATGTTATATCTTAAACATTTGGTGAGGCATGCAATGAAGTGTTTCATACAGGGATAAAATCCTCACTTATGGCTCTGTGTATTTACACATAGAGCTTAGTAGTAAATTATTTAAAAAATATCAGCATTTTGTATTTTTGGGTATCCCTTTTGTTGTACTCAAAGTCCTTTTCATTATCCCTAACATTGCATTTGGTAGAGCACATTTTTTTGTTTTTTGAACAAGTGAATTTAAACCATCTCTAAAACTTGATTTGGGTGTGTAATGCTAAAAAGAGTATATTTTTCTATTTCCACAATTATTCGTCATGGAGAAAATGTGTTGATTCCCATTACATATGAGGAAATGCAATGAGATATTTTTCTTTGCTTATTTTTTCAAATAGTGGCTATACTAATCAATTTCCACAAGTCATTTAAGGAGCTGAATATCATTAACAGACCCTTCTAACATTAGCACAATGGATATTTACGTAGTTAATAAAAAAAATATGCTCGTGTTTTCTTTTTTTAGAGAAACATAATCATTTGGAAGAAGCCTAAGCATTGGTTATGAGGTCATTGGTGAAATATTGCCTGATTCCACTGCCACACAGCAGTAATACAGCACTGGACTCCAGTGTTCACCATGTGTTCATGTTCAGATTATGGAAGCAGGGGGGTTGGGTTGGTTCAGGCCAAGCAAGTGTCAGGAGCAATCTCATCTCTGTGGAGCAGAGTGTCGCCTATAACAGAGAAGCTACAGAAGTCTTTATGGGCAATGTGGAAGTAAACTCACCGACCATTTCTGATCAAGGCAGAAAGCGACATGGAAAACCTCGCGCTTGTGTCATTCAGAGGGAATGCACCGCTTTAATGTCCACTGGAAGGCATCTCACACAGTGTTCATCACAGTCCATAAATTCAGACAATACAAAGGCCACACGTCACACGCTTCTGAGGCAGCAGCAGCTACACACTGCCCCCTGCTGCCACTGAAAGGAAATATAGCTTTTTCAGACTCATTTTCAGCTTCAGACCTCTCGAAATAACACACTTTTAGGAGTGACCTATGGGCTCAGAGCACAGAGCAGTAGTGTAAAGAACAGCATGTAGCACAAACTGTTAAATACCTAAATTCATAATATCTCACATTCTTTTTGTGTTGCCTGTATTTGGCCACATGATTCAAATGGACTGCTCACTACACTGAACGCATGGCTGGTATTTGTAGTACAGTCCTCTGGTGGTGGCTAGCTTCCTCAGTGCTGCTCGTCCTCGTGGTGAGCCAGTGCAGGGGGTAAGGTGGTCCCACAGGGGCCATGGAAGTGGAACCTAAACCAAAGACAGACATTTTCCAAAGGGCCATTAGTCAGCTCAGTGCATGCGTGAAAGTAAAGCTTGTGTCAGGCTGTGTGACGCAAACTAAACACACTTGAAGTGCATGGTGGCTGGAGTGTCCTCCATGTTGAATTCAGCCACTGGGACGCCTCTGGTTGCAACCTGAGGAGCAAACATGGCTGCCGGGTACACAACTGAAGAGGTGCCAGCCTGCACAGAGGGATTTAATGACAGCCTATAAACACAATCTACAGGAATACAGGATGAATGCTATTTAAATCTAATATCTATAGCAAAAAAAGGGAAAAAGCTAAATGATAAAAAACAAGGTGAGTTTAGTGTGCTTTGATGTAAGTGTGTGGTAATGTCTGGTCTGTAAATCAGCAGCTATTATTAGTTATTTCTGTTCATTCCAAACCAATATGAGTGGTGTTAAAAGTCTCTCCACACCTACCACGAGGCAGAGGTCGCAGCTGTCCAACGCTTCCTCTGCTCGGCTGAGGATGTCGGAATCCAGAGTCTCTCCGAACCAAACCACAGCTGGTCTCAGAAGGCCGTGACAGCCCGTCTGCTCGCACCTGAAACACAGGAATCTTCTGTCAAAACAAATACACATGGCGGGGAAAAAAGAGCATGAGCGGGACGTACCGGGGAAGCTTCTCGACGGGGATCTGTGCATCCTGAGATTCCGGGTCGGGAGCTCTGAGGAAAGAGACAGAAGTCACTGAAAACACAGATTATCAATTCCAATTTGAATCATTCAAATTATCTGAAAATCACAAGAATAAAGTATTTTTCTTACTTCTGCCGCTAAAAAAAGTTTCCATCTTTATAACTTCCTATTAGCTGGTCACGTTACAGTCATCTTTTTATCGTAGGTGCTTAATTTTCTTTGTTTGGTTATGATTAAATACATTAATAGTTCCCGGTTGTATTACCATTCACAGGCAAAGTGATAAAAAATAAATAATCTATTCATTAAAACACATTAATCAGAAAATAATACTTTCTCACAGATTATTTGGTGAAATAAACAAAGAAAAAAGAAAACAATATATTCTGTGAAACTTCAGTATGATACCTTTTAACTTCTGAGTGACAAAAGGACCCAAACCTTATTAAACATACTGACAACAACATCATCTAAGGCACATTTTACACAACACTATCAGTTCTCCTGGAAAATGTGGTTCCAGGGGAACAAAGGGACATTTGTCAGCACACACAAACATCTATTTCAAATGTCAGGTGAGTGGCTTTCAGAGTGACATTTGATTTGGGCGTAATTTTTCCTTTTCACTGTGTCATGCAGTGTTATTTAGCTGCCTGACATTTGACAGACTGAAACGGCCCGTTTTCTCTGGCATTTGGAGCTCAAATGAGTGAGATCGATATCTCTTACTAAACATTTCTGCACTGTTGAGGAAAACGGCTGAATTTACCAAACGACCGCAGATGAAGCTCTTACCCTTTGCCCTCCAGAGCGGTGCAAATGGGGCTCCTGTGATTGGCCGCCTCGTGACCACAGCTCAAGCAGCGCGTTTTAAATAAGCTCCCTGCATTAAAAACAGACACAAAGTGATCATTTTAGCCCACATTCAGCTTTCTCAATTAAATGTATGCAGTTTTCTGATTTCTTTTAGAACGAAAGATCCATGAAAAGTTATAAAAAACAGTCAGTGGGCAAAAATGAATGTAGTTGGCTTAGATAGATAACATTAGAGCTTCTGCTCACCGTGTATTTCCAGGATGTTTTTGGATCCGGCGCGGCGGTGGAGCTCGTCGATGTTCTGGGTGATGACGGTGACTTTACGGCCCTGCTTGTTCAGGCGGGCCTCACATTCAGCGATGGCCAGGTGGCCCGGGTTGGGATTTTTGGTGAGCATCACTTCACGTCGGTAGTGGTAGAACTCCCAAACACGAGATGGATTTCTGGCGAAGGCCTCTGGGGTGGCCAGCTCCTGATTGGAGAGACACTCAGGATCAGCTCTTACTCTATTTCCCATTTTCTTTTATTCCGGTCATTTCAAAGGCCCAGCCTCTCCGCAACACCCCACTGGAACCGGCTAACCTGGGCTTGCCATTTCCTCCAGAAGCCTCCCGCCCCTCTGAAGGTGGGGACCCCACTCTCAGCGCTGACCCCTGCTCCAGTGATGATGACGATGTTGTTGGCCTTGGAAAAAATGTCTCTGAATGCCGCCAGGTCTGAAGGTAAACACACCAATTCCATCAGCCATGGCACTAATGAGAAGAGTGGTTTTAAACCGTTACTAATGGGCCCCGGCTACCTGAACTGGGTCTGGCCATGTCTTGGCCTCTCCTGGGCTTTCTCAGGTGAGCATTGAGGTGAGAGTTTATGATGGCTCTACAGGTGAACAGGCGGATAATCATCAGTTTTTTTGGAAACTGGGGAAGAGAAATATTACATCATTCAATACATACAGATGACCTGTAATTTAGGTTAGTGCTCACGCTAAGCTTTATTATTGATTGGGGCGGGTTATTTGGTTTAGTTTTGACTGTAATGAAGTGAAAACAGGAGAAATGAACCATTAAACACGTCACTTTGTGCTGCAAAAAAATTATATTTTTCTGCTTAGGAACAAATTAGAAACCCTTTAAGCAACAGCCACAGATGGCTTGTTTTGTTAAGTAATAACGTCAACACGGGTTTGAAATCATTTGAAAAAATGTTAACAAGGGTAAAATTGTGGTTTCTGCCAGATCAGTCTTAATATCCAAGATGTAATTGGTTTGTATTGTATAATCCACAAAACATAAGATCTTATATCGTAAATTATATCTGGACATAAATAATTCAAACTATTTTCTATAGATCATTGCAGTTAAATAGCTGTTGGTCAGTTTTAAAGTCTGATACAAAAATGTTATTCCATACAGACGTATAATTTCTGGGCCAGACAAATGTGTTCATGTTCATTAGTGTTGTTATGTATGAAAAGAATAAACCTCTAAGCCAGCGATTAAAATCAGTATTGCTTGATAATACCAATGAAGATTGGCAGCATTAAAGGTCGAATTAAATTAAACCTTAAACATGAAGCCATAAACAATACAACTGTTATTTTCTTTAATCTAAGATTTAATGAAAAATGTATCTGTTAAATCGCCCCAATCATTACATCTGATCAAACTTTAACCGTTTTGGCTAATGAATTTAATAAACTGACTTAATATGCTAAACATTCTTATCTATTAAACTTGAATGGATGTCTGGGTAATGTTTCTGATGAGGAAAGACTAAAATTAACCGAACGTGTTAAGTGGGTGCATCTGAGGTCATCTGGACTGACGCTTAGTTTAGCTTTATCAATAAAACTACGAGGTCATCAAAGCAAACATACCACAAAGCTAACCTATATAGCTATAAACTTCGGAAGCTAAGTAACCTTGATTATTTTGACACTGCAGCAATGACGTTGAGATAGTTTTGTGCTACAATACTTTTTAAAACAATCCTCAGGAGAGTAGTTAATAGAATCTGACAGTAACTTTCTTGAAACTAAGCTACAAAATGCCACTTAGCTAAGCTAGGCAGCCAAGTAGAAAGTTAGCAAGCTAACCAGCTAGCGCTTGTAACGGCTAAAAACGCTAAAGACGCCTAGCATTAGCATAATAAAGCTGAGTGTCCCTTTAATTTAATCCTCCAGGTTTCAGTTGGAGATTCACTGCCGCTGACTACCTGTCAGACCAACGCCTGAAGGACCAGCTGCTGCTTGCAAATATCTGTCTCTTCGGTGTTTTGGGTCAGATGGGAGGGCATGAGCCTATCAAAGACGACAGAGGTAAACAACAACGACCACGGTCAAGTCAGGTGACCGGAAGAAAGTAATAATTTGGGGGGCCACTGCCAGCGTTAGGCCCCACCAACCATTAGATTTTAAAATTGTTGTTATCATATCCCCAGTTAAATCTTCAAGAAACTTGGAGGCATTGATTCGCTATTAATATGTGATTTTAAAATTCAGAAACTTCCGGTCAAATTATTCCTGTTTCATCAGCAAGTCCTTTTATATTGGAAACCATCATTTCACCCCTTACACGTTTGGAACAATAGATACATTGCAGTTAAAAACAGGTCATTGTATGAACATTGATTGTTGGATAAAAGTATTTGGTCCTTAATTCAATTGACTGGTTAAGATGGGCGTGCAATAATATGAAAATATTTGTCTTGAATATGATGTTCCTTCATCCCACTGTCCAAAAACCTTAATGTGTGGGTGATTAGTCATTCCAAATTGCCCGTAGGAGTGAATGTGAGTGTGCGTGGTTGTTGGTCTTTGTGTGTCAATGTGTGATGGACTGACAGACCGCCCAGGGTGTCCCCTGCCCCTGCCCAAAAAGGATGGATTGATAAGCAGCTGGATCTGTTTTTATTAAAAATAACAAAAACTAAATTGCCCTTTCATTCAGAATCGGCCGTTCTTAGGTTCCCATTCTTTTGACAACAAACTGAATTTCCTGCCAAGACATATCTTATTCCCTTTAAAGCTGTAATAAAAAGGACTGTTTACTTTATTGGTCAAAATATGGGCTGAATTAGGCTAAATTGTTATTGACAATTCACTTAACTTTTTATTGATGTTTTAAAATAAGCTTTCATTGCATACAATACACATTTAAAACGTTCATGAAATAACATGAATGTATTTTATCTAAACTTTAATAAAAGTAAATTTCCTCTTAATATACATCAATAAAATTTGTATTGAACAAAACTATTCAATTATAGTAAAGTATGTTTTAACAAGTCTGAAGGTCTTGAGCTGTGGATCTCTATGCTTCTGGGACGCACACATTTTGTTGTACTGTATTACACTAAGCTGATACCAGTTATCTCCACCAGAGGCCAGCACCGACTAAAGCTCATCACTACAGCACAGTCTGAATAGAAACACACTTAATGATTAACAGTAAGATGTATTCATTCATCCACTGAGCTCTCTGGCTTCATTGCACCTTTTGCAAATGTCAAACCTTCACTCCTCAATTGATTATGTTAATATGGGCATATATGAGCTATTTTAAGATCTTCAAAATAATCAATTCATGATAGATGGTTGCCAAGATGATTTGAAAAGGTCAGAAAGAAATTAATATTTCTTAAACTGAGGTTTTGCCTCTGGGCGCTTTAGAATCAACCAAATATGTGGTATCAGGATTTTTTATTTAATTTTCTTGTAATCTTGTTTTTTTCTTTGAAATCACTTCAAATTGAACTGTAGAAAAGAGACTTGCGTTCTATTTTACACATGAGTGCAATCTCTTTATTAATCCATTTATTTGACTCATTGACTCATTGATTGATATACTGTATATATATACATTTAAGAGTACTTCCTATTCATTAGATTCACATAGTTGCCCATAAGGGGGTTCTTGGATTAAGAATAAGTCGTTAGAGTACTATAATGGATTTGAATGAATTAGTGAATGAATTGTGATTTTTCAGTCACAGCTGCTGATAATTGTTTCACGAAGTGTAACCTGCAGATTACATTTGAATTAACACGAATGCAGGCCGACCTTTTATTGTTTAATAGTTTCTAAGCATCATCGAAAGCTTTCCTGTCATGTGTCTGTGTAGTCTGGGTCTGTGTGAGCCCCACAGAGCAGTTAAAGGGTGTTTTTGTGTGGGTGTGTGTGGTGTTTTTGTTTTATGTGGGCACTGCGTGTTGCATTGGTCTGTGTTTGCTCAGCCTCGAGCAGGTGGAGCTGACATACAGGAAGGGAAACATCCCATCAGACCCCCCCCCCCCCCCCCCCCCCCCCCCCCCCCCCCTCCATCACCGTTACAACAAACCCACCCCCCTCCCACGCCGTCTCACCGGGCGGTGCTGCTGCTGCTGCGGTGCCGTGCGTCTGGCTCTGGCTGTCCCCGCCGGCTGCTAGTGGACCATTCCCCGGCTGGCCGAACATGGCGGCGGCCCCGGAGGAGGAGGTAGACCGCAGACCGATCCGGAGGGTCCGCTCCAAGAGTGACACTCCTTACATCAACGAGGCGCGGATCTCTCTGCACCTGGAGACAGGTAGGCAGCGTGCCGCCGCCGGATGCGTCTGCGCGCCAACGTTCCCCACGGGGGAGAAATGCTCTACATGTGTGGGGTTCAGATTTTTTTTTGGAGGGTGGGTTGGTCGGGGGGCTGTTCTGTAGCCCCGGTGACAGTTGCCACACAGCAGCATGACTTTGGGGTTTTCGTCATGCCGGATTGGCGGTGCCTGTGGAGAGATTCGCGCACCGGGCAGCTTTTTTTCCCCCCCAGAAACAGGCTGATCAGGAGCATCGATCGTCTCTGCTCCCGGCCAGACTCCGCCTTTTACGTTCGGCCGCAGTGAAATGTGTGAACCTCATTTCAAACGCCGCTGTAATGAACCCGTTCGGAGAGGGGGGGAGAGACGGATGTCACCTCCCCGTCTCGTCCGGCGTGCGTGGTGGCTGTGGCGTGAAATCACGGGGAGATGAGTTATTGTTTCCTTTGTTGCCATGGCCACGACCGTGCGCTGTCACGATGCCTGTTTCATCTTTTAAGTGTCGGTTTACGGCCACATTTAAGATCATTTTCTGCCTGATTTTGGACATCCTCCCCCCACCCTGCCCTCCCACGGAGGCTGCTGTAGTGTCACGGAAAGCGGAGCTGTCCACTGCCCCGCGGTGCTGAAAACGCCACGGATGGAAACCTCCACTGCGGAGCATCCACATCAAATATGATCATTTCAGTTCTTTTTCATTTACAACGGACTGCTGCATAGCTCCTGATTGATACTCCCTCCCCCAGATTTTGGCCGGCGGGACCAGTCTCAGTCACATGGCCTCTGTAGCCTGGCAGGCTGGGCTCCACTCAAGCCTCTACTTTCAATTTCAAACACAAATCTGCTTGGCTATTGTTCTGCTGAGTGTTAATCTCCCCCCCCCCCACCGCTTCTCCCTTAAACAGAAGAACGCACAGAGAAACGTGTAACGCTTGATCTTATAAAGTAATCTGTATGAGCTCAGGATACCTGCATTTTGATATTTCCCCCTTTTAGCCTCCTCATTCCTTCATGACTCATGACGTTCAGACCCACCTACTCATAATCACTCTGAGCTGCCCTCTCTCTGGCCCTTTACTACTTCTCTCCATTTTATGCCCTATTAAAGCAGCACCTCCTCTCAGTCAGATTAGCCTCCCCTTGTATATATAACGCTCTTTTTCCCACATTAAGCTTGGATCTGGCTCGAAGGCGGGGAAAGGCTGCTGTGTCCTGCTAGCGGTGCTGCTCCTGGCTGTTAGCTGGAAACGGAGCGAGGCATTCTGAATCTGCCAATCGGGCACTGAAGATGAATATTCAACCCAGGACCTCGAATCGTTTCCTTTCTTTTGTCTCTTCCCTTGTTATTGTTTGGGTCTAATCTATTTTTTTCCCTTCCCAGTTAAGCCATCTTCCCACCTCCTCTCAAGTCCCTTTTGCCTCACATTTGTTCAGCTGATGTTTTGCATAAATCCAACCCACTCGTTTTCCTTTATGTCCCCCACTTAATGTGACAAATTTGATGCCATCTTCAGGGTGCTTGTGTGTTTGTGTGTGTGTGTGTGGGAGGAGGGGTTTACGTGAGTGTTCAGACTAGTAAACAAGAGTTTATCATTGTGGCTTTTGCCAGACAGGTTGCTGTCATCATCAGGCTGAGAGGCTCTTCAAGGCTTTTATCAAATGGGGGATTGATTGACCTCTTTACTGCACGAAGCTTATATGTTCTGTTTGGCATGCGTCAGTTTTTCTCTGGGTACTCCACCTTCTCATCTCTCAGTTCAAAAACATGCACATGAAGAGCACTTGTTCTGAATTGACTCTAGAAGGATCTTTTTTCATTTTTTTGTTAAGTGGCGGTTACCTGAGTAAAAACACCAAATCAGGAATACATGAGTATTCATAGCAAAAATGGGCACAAAGACCACTCATTAAAAACAAGTTATGTTTTAGGCCTGGTTTCAAAGAGAAAAGCCTAAAAACTGATAAATACATTTTTCCATTTTTTTATTTTATAGTTATACTCACAGGGTTCATCAAAACACTAATTTAAAGATGCATACAGTATGTATTTTTATGTTGCAATTGATATGTTGAGCCTTTGGTAAGGCGGAATGAGAGTACACTTCTCTGCACACTAAAGGCATCCTTAGATGAAGCAGGGGAACAATCTGGTGTCTAAATTAGCTGACACATTATGACAGCTTCACATCTCCACAGCAGGTCACCCTGTATTTATCTAAAACTAACCCTAACACGTGTATGCTGTGCTTAGTTTGTGCCGTAACGACCGAAAGTGAGGTAGAAAAGGAAAAAGCCTTGTGCAGCAATGGGTCGATTATAGCCTTTTTCCGACCCACAGGCATTTTTAAACATGTGATAGTTGGGTGATTTGTGTCAGTTTCACACATGCTAAAACGGGTTTCAAAAGACAGAGTGCTGTGATGTTTTTTTTAGCTGATTCTTCAGCATTTGGAGCTGGTACTCCTTCCAGTGAGAGGCTGGACTGAAATATCTGAAGTGGGGTTTTGTGAAGCTCTTCTGAACAGTGGTATCTCACCTGCACTGACAACAGTCAGTGTGCTATTCGTTTTGGAGAATTCAGATGTACTTGCTAACACAATTAAAAGTAATTCAAACATAAATGTGAAACTGCATCACTTGTGCAGGATATACTTGTTGTATGGGTTTCTCTTTTCCTGACAAAAGAAAGTGTCAGTATTAATTATACACAGAGGCTGTAAATATAACCTAATCTTGATGGTTACCATTAATGGAACCAATTTATTTTGAAGAAGCATTCAATCAATTTGCTTCTTTTGTGGTTTAATTACTCGTAGGAGTGTTGAGGTTTCTTATTTTGCTTAGCACACATTTTACAACTCAGTTCTAAGGAACATGGATCATTCAGTTAAAAATAAATAAACACAGAATATGATTTCAAATCCTTTTCAACATCCACTGATCTGAAAAAACTTCAGAGGAATCTATCTGCTCAGACTGATAGATTTAATTAAAAAATGCTAATTTTGAACAATCTCGACACCTTGTACACAGATGCCTTCTTTCTCATTCCACTGAGGCCGTGCTAGTGCCAGAAGTTAGTCGTGTGCATACACACGTATAAATAAACCGATAGCTGATATATGAGCTTGACTGGAGCTGACAGTTTGGATCTGATGTAAAAGCTGAGGCACAACATTACAGAGGTAGCAATTAGTGAGAATAGCAATGCAGGCAATTTCCTTGAACAACAACACCTGACTTTGATTGTATTATGTTAATTTCAGATTTATAAAAGGTTGTGATTTGATATATTAGTTCTGTTATCTTTTATGAATAGCACTGGTTGTGTTACAGCCCTCAGACAGTGGACTTTATTATGTTCTTCTTACATTCAGTCTTGTTTGTTCCACTTTTTACTGCTGTTTGCTGTAATGAGGTGGATGTGAGCAAAGGGACCCAAACAAGCGGAAAATCCGATGCAAAACAGAAACAATGCAGGCAACGAGAAGTAGCTGAAGACTTGATGAGCTGCAGACTGTGCGCGAGCTCCCTGTGCTTTTCTTAAGCATGAATACACCCTGTGTTTGGGACTGAGTCAGTCCGGGTCCGGGCCGCTCCGTGACAGAGCTGCTCCTGCTCTCCGAATCCAGGTCAGCTCGGTGGGAGCTTAGTCTTTCCCACAAAGACCAAGAAACAAGCATTACTACGCTCTCATTCAGACAGAGAGAGAGCTAATACAGGGCTAAATAAGAGACTGAGACAGAGGAGCTGGAGGAGCAGGAAGGGATTGAAGATAGGAACAGGATGGAGCAAATCCCTTTGTAGCACCCAAAAGAAAAAGACTGGTACCCTGAAGAGGAACCCAGACCGGCTGCTGTCCATAGAAGCCTGTGAAAATGTTGTATAGCTAAGCCATCTCCCTCTGTCTGAGGAACGCTCTGTTTTCTCTCCTGTTTGCTCAGTCTCCCGCTCATATGTCAGCCCTGATATCTGCACATGAGACAGACTTAGAGCAGCAGAGGGCCAAGCCCACCTGGGCAGAAAAACAAAGGCCCAGAGATGATGCGTGATGCTTTAAAATGCAGAGGAGTGCTTTCTCTGGCTCGCCGTATCACGATTACACAAACCCCTTCGCTCTTCCTCCGCCGGCGTGTGGGTTTGTCCTTTCAGCTCACGCAGGCTGACCTCCGAGCCACGGCCAGTGACTCAGATCCACATTATTACTCAGGATAGTGCCAACTATGTCTCAGCTGGATGATGTCAGAGCGCGGGAGCACACAAAGGTGTGGCATAAAACAAAACGCCCGCAGGGACTAGAACACAGTTGTTGCTGATTCTCAGGCTGTGATGTTTCCCTTCTTATTTATTTCACAGGCAGTGCTACATGACATTTTATTTGCATGTTGTCTCACTCTTTGTTCTGTTGTGTAGACCAGTTGTTGTGTGGTATGGTGAAGGTTCTCGATATCTTGAAAATAATCCATTAATCGATGAGCTGTTAGGCATCAAATATTAGAAAACAATTATAGTCAGTGTTGTTTGCAATTTCTTGTTATCCTTTATCAAATGTAATGGTATTTAGGGAGTCTTTCTTTTTCTGATCATTCTGTTTTATGGCAACTTACTGGTGTTTTTTCTTCGCTCGATATCTTTTATGATTCATAACAACACCAGCGTGGAGGTTGTTAACCTGTTAAAGAGCTAACTAAGCTTTTGAGCCCAACAAATGCCTCAAAAGTCCTTGAATCAAAATGATCTGAAGCGGAAAAATATAACATACAGAGCAGGAACTAAATTAAAGAATGAAGAAGTTTAAATCATTTCCTCCCCTGATCATGGTGGGAAATGAGAGACAACAGGTTGAAACAGTGGAGGGTCTTGAAGCCCTAATGAAGACACAGCTGGAATATGAGGCATACTGAGGGAACAGGAAAGCTGCTTAATAGAGAGAGAGTTTTACTTGCTGACATCATCAGCAGAGAATCACACCTTTCTCTCTGCTACACCTCCACTTTCA